ATGCGTCCATAGTGATGTTCTATGTAGAAGCGGGATTTATTTGAAAAGACATCTAGGTACCACTCCTGTGTCCAGCGCCGTCGTTCGCCGCACCACTGTGGGCGCGCTTGTCTTTGCTACAGAGTCAAGAGAAAACTGCAACAATGGTCGCCGTGCTGAAAGTTCATGATGCTTCCCAATATACAACACTATCATGCATTGGCAATATGCTTAAGTTTATGTATTGAGTGAAGAGTATTGGCATCTAATTACGCCTTATGTTTATGTGATTAATGTGTTGTTTTCTTTCTCTCTTTTTTTTTTTTTTTTTTTTTTTTTTTTTTTTTTTTAATTTAAGACCCTTTCTCTTTATGTCTTGCACTTGACTATTTATGACATGCTAATGTAACCTGAACTGCAATGTAACACAATCACTCATCTGCTCTTGTTGCACTGTAAATACTTTTATTAATTTAAAGTTGCTGCTTCTACACAGGGGAAGGCGTGGGACATATGCCTGTTTACCACTGTTCAACACCAGGCGTCCCCGTCTTCCGTCACCTGTCACCTGCAGACGTCGTCTCACATAAGCCAAATTCCAAACTCTCGGAAAAAAGTAGAAATTTTGCATTGCTTAAGGCGGGAGTTTTCTGCAACTGATTTTTTTCACCTTTTCGGGCGGGGGTATAGCCAAGGTGGCTGTCCCGTCTTATCTGAAAGGGGTTGTTTTCACGGAAATCCGTCTCTTCTTGCCCCTAGACACCATCTCTTAGAGCTTCGGCTTTTGCTTCCCGTCGACGTTTACGCAATTCTTCTGAACGATGAGAGTCCCTCTCCTTTCTCGGAGCCTTTGGGCCCGAGATTTGCTAGCATATATCCTCGTTTAAAATTGTACGAAGACTACAGTAGTATTTACCCTTGGGCACTATCCATAGTTTGCTAAAAATGACTTAATAACATACTTCTCTAAGGGGGAAACTGACAATGGATCCTGTTTTTCGAGGTGCTACCAGCTTATTCACTATGTTGCTTTCAACGGTTTGATCTCACATCATCTAATAACCATATCCGCCCTACTGCATTTTTGGCCTGGAATATGGATTCCAATGGATCCTGTTTTTTTTTTTTTTTTTTCCTCTCAACTTCCTTAATGATGGTCCACTCTTCCGTCCGAAATTCTGATAAAATAATGGACATTACCAGTTTTTTCAACTCCCTGAATGATGATCCACTCTTCCATCCGGAATGCTGATAAAATAATGGACCGTTGACGGCTTCCACTTTGCTGAATTGCTGATCCACTATTCCTTCCGGAGATCTCGGTGATGGAGCTTCTCAGCTAAGTTGTGATTTTATTCAACTTAATTTTTCCTTGCTATTTCATTAAATTCAGAAAACTTCTTAACTCTTAAGGTCTTCGAGATTTCGCTGAGTTTATTTTAGGTGTGGGTTATGTTAATTGTTAGCTAAAAAATTGTTTTTCCCAAGTAAATTAGATAAAAATGAGTTACACATAGAAATGATTTTTATTTAAGAGTGTCTGTTTATTTTATGGTAATAATATCCTTGAATTTTCATAAAGATAAGGCGTAGAAATATTAATTTGGTCCGCTGTTATTATTATTATTAGAGCAGTCTGGTAGAATATTTCAAGTTCTAAATGCTAATTCTTAAGGAATTTAATATTATTATTTCTATTCTTATCTGAAGAACCGTTAGAGTGAACTTAAATATTCAGTTAAAGTTAATTGTTAGTTAAGGTTCAGAAAGTTGAAAAAATCTCTTGTAATACCGCAGTAAAGGAAATGTTTACTGAAAATTAAATGAGTGCAAATATTGGTACATTAAGCCATTAACTCTGGTCGTGGAAATTTTGTTAAAGTTGTTCTTCCCTTGGATAACTGATTTTTTTGTGCAATAAGGGTGTAAATTCAATTGTTATACTAGAAATTAACAAATATCCTATTGAAAGCCCATTATGAGATTGACTAGTAGAGTGTCTAAGAAATATATTAAACTTAATAGAATTAAATTTTTGTGTGCAATATGGAAAAATAAGTCTATAGAAAAATGTTAAACTTATTTGTATTAAAGGTAAAATTTACAAATTTAGATATAATCCTATGTTGATTTTTTTTCTTTGATTTTTTCCCTGGGAATTTTTTTTTTTTTTTCTATTTGATTTTATCACATGATTATTTGAATTAATAGATGTTTCGTTTCTAAATAAATCTACATATTTTCATTGAAATATTTAAGTGTATGTTTTATTTGATTTGTTCATGTCACTCACCAGTTCACCTTAAATTTGAATTAGGAATTGTTCGGTCAAATTTAAACAACGCAATGTTTTAGGTTAGTCGGTTAGGAAAATTTAAATTTTGTGTTTCTGTGTCTTTCTTAAAAGGGCACGCTCTTCTCGCCAGGCTTTGATCTCGGCTAAGAAGTCCATCAAAGTCTTCGTTTCCTCCGCCATGGCTTTCCTCTGCAGGCGAGTCACTGGCATTCACTCGCAAATCCCACTTCTGACACCAGTTGTTACGTTATTTTCTTCCTTCACGTTCGTATGGGGTTCGTAAATTTGGAGTGAATAACGACGGCAGCACTTGATGGAATATCGAAACACACTTTGATTGGCCAGTATTTTTCAAGACAGCTCCAAAACACTTTTACAGTCGTCGAAGAATTACTGTTAACACGCTGTTAACTGTTAAGCGACACAGCCTTCAAACTGTGAGGCTATAACCGTGGAGTCAGCTTCACTGCAAAGCACCAGAGTGCAGCTCCCGACTCTTCGGTTAAGTCGTTCCCAGAGCTCAACACACTCTCTCGACAATGCACTAACCGCGATACACTAAGAGACTCTTTCGGTGCACTCGACGATCCACTCGGCACTCGCTGACCAACTGTCAACTCGATGGACCCTCTAACTCTGCACAAACTGACTAACTCTCCGCGTACCAGCTGGGTTTATATAGCTTTTGGCTTGTGCTCGAGAACATTCTGGGAATAACATTCAGGGATTTTGCAAAATAGGTTTACTTGCAGTCTTCTGCAGTCTGGAGTTGGATTTCAGTGTTTATCCAGTTAAAAGAGTTTACTTACAGCATAGTTAGTTAAATGCCAAATTTGTATATAAAACTATCATTTGGGAAATCATTTAGAAATAAAAGTATCATTTGGGAAATCATTTAGAAATAAAAGTATCATTTGGAAATAAAAGTATCATTGTGAAAAATCTTTGAGGTGGAGAGTTGGAGGCGTTCAGAACTAAGGTAAGCGAATATAGAAGTAGCAAAATGTCTGATTGTTTCAAGACAGATAATCTTTGTTCTCTTCAAACAGTTTAAAGATTCTGAAATTGTTATTAGAAAACCAGGACAATTTAGCAGGGAATGGATAAAACGGCTTCTTAAAGCCGGCTTTTAACTGTAAGAGCCCATCGCAAAAGAACTTGAATACTAAGCAGCTGAGCTAGCTTGCAGCTAGCTATCCCTGTCTAGTTTTGCAGCAAAGCACAAACATAACTTACTGGGGCCATTATTTCAGAAAGCGAGTGGTTTCTTGCAAAGCAAGAGGAACCTGCTGAATTAATATAAACTTAAGAGGTACAGTATTGTAACAGTGGATTTAAATTTTCTTCAGTTACGACTCAATTTCAGTTAACATTTGATTCTAAATGCTTTTATATCTGAAGGAAGTCAGGACCTTGAAATGTTCTTCTCAACATTAGGGAAAATGGCAGTTTTGCTGATGAACAGATGAATTCCAGAGAGAAATAATTATCAATGTGCATAGTTCCCTCTACGTATGTTCAAGAGGAGGTATGTGTTCTGGTCAGAGATATCGAAAGGAAGTGGCGTAAAGCGTTTTGCTTAAACAAACTTTTTCAGTGCTACGTAAGACCTTTTAGATGTTTATGTGGGCCTAACCTTCCTTTTATGGATGACAGCTGTCGTTGAATAAACCTGATAATGAATTTCTTGAAGCCGAAAGCTTTTATCGGAATAAACTAATCAATGAAATTCTTGATTTTGCTTTACTGTAGAGAATTTATGTTGCACTGTGCAATCTGCTCTTAAAGATCTCAGTGCTTAAGTTACTATACTAGTGGAGGAGTGGAATTTATTGTCTGAACTCTAATTAATTGTCTTATTGAGAACCTGAAATGGCGTTGTGATATGTGTGTATGAGTTACGGGAGATCGCGTTCATTACTAATAAAAAATAAATAAAAATAAATAAAAATAAAAATACCCTTCCGTTTGTTTCTAAGTATTAACTTTTTTCGAAAATTCTCTTGCTTTATATTTTTTTAAGATTGGATTTTTAGATCTATATTTTTTCGTGTAGATTTTTAGATTTAGATATTATTGTTTGTTTATTTTTTTTTATGCTTATACAGGAGGGATCCACATTGCTAATTCAGAGAATATAAAAGTTTAACTCCATTTTGCTATTTAGCAGACACATAAAAACTTTAAATTTTCTAAAATTTTAATACCAGTTCATTAAATTGTGTTTTCTCATAATACATTTTTGTGTCATATTCATTCGTATTTGATTTTTCAGTGTGTGCTTATATATTATAATTATGTGCATAGTTTTGAATTATAATACTGTGTATCATCCATATAGTTTTAGTTTTCTTCCTCAGTTTTAAAATGTTTGTTGTGTTTTATGCTTGTAAAAATAATTCTGGACGCATGGAGTATTCTCATTGTCCAATGTTCAATGAATAGATGTGCTGTTTATTTTAATATAGAGCTTATTTGTATGTATACTTAATGCAATTTTAATTCTGGTTAATTCCTGTTTTGTGTTCTAGCATTTTCGACTGGAAGTATTTATTAATATATGTTTTCTTTCAGTGTATATAATCTAACAATTACTGTTATGTCATGATTAAATATTATGCAAACATATAACAATCTGTCAATATTATTAGTACTTTAAATCTGTTATATATTTCTACTGTAAAGGAAAATATGATTATAATTGTTTCACTTTAATTGTGTCTAGCCGAGTGAAATGTATCCAACTGTTGAAGAATGCTGGCCAGAGTCAACAACAATGTTGCCTTTGCTAACTCAAGGATCATTTTCTACTCATAATGGGTATCATATTAACTCTAATGGTGTGGCCCCATTATCAAGTGCATTGCAGAATAGAACTGAAAGCTTTGTCAGTATGCTGCAAAGTGCATCTTTGGAAATACCTACTACAGAGAATACGTTTCAGACAATGCCTTCAGCTGTTGGTATGTATGTTTGAAATTTAAATGCCTTTTAATGCAGAAATGTGTGTTCTGTGTGGCACAAGATAATCATGACAGAGAAGGAGGGACTCGCACTGCTAATGCAGAGAATATGAATGTGTATGTTTAATTCCATTTTGAAATTTACCATACTCATAATTTTTTTTAATTTTCTGAAATTCGAATACCAAAGAATTGGTAGTAATAATTCAGAAACTGAGAATGAGTATCGTAGTGTCTCTGCATCCAAAGTAATACTGTCAAAGATTTATCACAAATACGTGAAACCGCGAATATTAACTGATGTTATGTTATTTATATGAGGTAACTAATTACTGTCTCATGTTATTGATACATTGTGCAAAGCAAAACCTAATCAATGTGAAATAAGTAAAAAATATCATAAAATTGCAATGCTGATTCCGGACCCTAAAATAAAAATAGAGCAATAACATTTTTTTAAAAAAAAGTTTTTTCCACGATTGGGGATGAAATCTTCGAAGAAACTGCTTGGTTTTTACTTAAATGAAGATCGTGAAGTAGTTTTTAATAGCTGCCACCCATGGTATAATGATTAGGGGAGATAAACCACTGAGTTGGCTTTCGATCCAGGTATAGATATATCCATGCAGAATTGGTTACCAACTCGGTGGGAGTCAACCACTAGCTGCCAGGCCGCAGCCCCGGCTGAGCAGACGACATTTATAAAATGCAAAAAAGAGATATACATGGGCATACAAGGCACTTGAAGAAGAGTACAAGAATGTACAAAGAAATAGTATATACATGTGCATACAAGGCACTTGAAGAAGAGTACAAGAATGTACAAAGAAATAGTATATACATGTGCATACAAGGCACTTGAAGAAGAGTACAATCAAAATATATGTATATACATATAAATACCAACTCATATACAGATATATACACACTTACATATACATAAATATTCCGAAACAAATAAAAGTATACATACTCTCACTCATATTGATATATACATCCATACAGATGCGCTTATCATGATAGTTAAAGTTTACAAGAAGCATGCCATTGAGGTACACGTGATCCTTAGTATAAATTAGTACCATAAATAAAAGATATAAACATGTACAAATACATTACAGTGTTCAGGTACAGTACGAATTTTATGTATGAGAACCTGGCATAGCATAAATACAAAATTATATATTGAACATACATATCACATACTCTGTTGGTGACATATTGAACTAGCTTATATAGACTTTTATGACTACTATCTTCCAGTGTCAAAAGAGCAATTACTAGTACAGTACTCATGTATTGTTTTCAGTTTCCACTGGGCAATTCTGTTACTTTGTAGATTCTGGAACCAATTTGGCCAGAATCTGGCTGCTGGTTGCTTGAGGCTGTTAAGTGCTGTGTGTGGACAGGAGAACACAAAATGGTCTGGATGACCCGCCTCCCCACATTTACAGTTACCATTCTCTCTCAAGCCAAAGCGGCAGAGGTATGAAGGGAAGGGCCCATGACCAGTGAGGAAATACGTCATGTAATTGCTATTAGTTTGGATTGTTATCTTAACCTTGGGAATGAGATTGTAAACACGTCTTCCTGTGGAGGCTTGATCCCAACGTTCTTGCCATGTTTTTAGGAGCTGTATCCGACTCTTTAGGTCCGAGACTGGCCTAAGGGTCGGGATATCTCGCAAAGTGGATGAATCAGCTGCTTCTTTGCAACAACATCTGCTCTCTCATTTCCTTCTATTTCCATATGAGCGGGCACCCAGATGAGTGAGGGTCTTTGCGAAGCAGGCATATGGGTTAGAATGTCTAATGCTGCTGGCGATAGGACTGCGAGAATGAATTCCAGCTATCGCAGCAAGGCTTGAGGCTGAGTCTGTGTAGATGATATTGGGCACTGTGGGATTATTCTTCAGGTGGAGAAGAGCTGCTCTGATTGCTATGAGCTCCACCTGAAAGACAGAGTTTTCAGAAGCTAGCTTTCTTTTCCACTCATACGTTAAAGCTCCTCCAGAAAGTATACAGAATCTGCTTCCCGTTCCCCCTGGAGTTTTAGAGCCATCAGTGAAAACACCATTTGCAAATCCTGAGTCCTGTGTTCTATTAAAGTAGATAGTGTCCACAAGGTTATTTTTAGCAGGGTGGTAGGGAGCTTGCGGTATGTGATGCTCATAATCAGTATGGATATAGATTTGTCCCCAGAGACTCATGGAGTGTCGTAGCCTGCTTACGTTAACCACTACAGCCTCTCATTCAACTAACAAGTCCAGAGGCGGCATGCCTGCGATAACTTGTAAGGCTGCCGTGGACGTGGTACAATAATAAGTGTTGCTGTATAGAGAGCAGTGAGCGTCTCATTTGGGAAGAGATGTTAGTTCCCCAAATAGCAACAGTGTACAGAATAATTCTTTCCACCACTGTCTTGTACCATATTCTAAGCAATTGACATGGGATACCCCATCTTAACGAGGTTGTTGATCGCATGGAAGTAGTCAGTCTATTGATTCTTAACTTTAAAGAAGAGATGTGTGGCTGCCAGGAAAGTCTATTATCTAGTACTACTCCTAGGTACTTAAGTTGTTTAAACGCATTTAATGGAGGACCCCAAGAGTTTAAGACAGGGGTTTCTACGGTAATGGATAGCCTCGACTAATTATGAGTGCTTGTGTTTTAGGCACCGAGAGTTTCAGTTTATGCTCTCTCACCCAGTCAGCAAATAAATTAAGGCTATATCCTGAGTTCGCGTTTCAAGGTCGCTTTCGGCCTGCTACAATGAGTAAAATGTCGTCTGCTGTATGCTAAAAAGCCTTACTCCTTCTTTGTTTTCAAAGACCTGAAAAAAACTGAGTTAGCAACTATGTTCCAAAGAACGGGTCCAAGACAGGAACCTTGCGCAGACATCCCCTCTTAAGACCCTTCCTTACCAATTCTCTGTCTAACGTCATTAAAACTTGTCTTTTGTCAAGATAGCTGCGAATCAGGTGTCTTATGGAAGCAGAGCATTTGAGGGCATCCAAACTGTTCATGATGTCAGGCCACCACAGTGAGTTGAAAGCTCCTTGAATATCGAGGGATACGACTGCTGTGTGCCTATCTTCCATTTTGTTAGTGAGTTTATATCCAACAGCTGATTCAATGCGTGCTCCATGGACATACCTGGTTTGAAACCGAATTGATTCTGATAAATGTTTTTATATCGTACAATGAAGTAGACGAGTCTACCGAGAAGAACTCGCTCAAGTAATTTACCCAGAGCAGGCAGGAGACAAACTGGCCTATATGAGGATGGAAGGAAACTTTTCCTGGTTTTAGAAAAAGGGCCAGTTCAGCTGTCTTAGTATACCAGTGGGAAAGTACCGGAGACGCCAGCATGCAGTCAGAAAAGCCAAGATTAAGACTGGGAATTTATGGAAGATGATTTTAATCACATGATTATCTACTCCATCAAGTGATTAAAATCATCTTCCATAAATTCCAGTGATTAGGAGAGCCGACTACGATACCAAAGGGCCCGGGCTGGAAATCCCGGAGAAGACATGGTTGTAACTAACTGTCTGTCTCTTCATAGGAGGTAATGAAGGTCGGCTATTTAGGTGTCTCCACAATAAAATGGCCACTGCTTCAGGCTTTAGGAGTGGCCAATGTCGAAAAAAGACAAAATAATCCCCGCCATATAAAAAAAAATGATAGCTTCTTGCCATTCAAATTATTCTCCAGAAACTGGTGCAGATGGAAATACAAAGCAGCAGGGTGTGAAACGATTTCCTATTTCAACGAATGGTCGCTTGTGAATTATGCTGCCTGGCATTGTCATGATGAATGTTGACACATTTTTCGAGTGGCCAGAATGGACGTTTTTCGTGAATTACGACACTGCTGAATTTTGCTTACAGCAAACATCCATTTTACTCACAGCTCTTGAGTGCTGTGAATATTTCGAGATAATAAGGAGTTATGTTTTTCCTAAGCAATGTTTCTTTCGGTGTGTGCTCGTTTTCATCGTATATTATTTCACGAAGTCCATTTTTCATCATCTGTTACAATTCTATGCAAAAAAAAATTTTTCTTTTTCATGTGTCCGAGGAGAGAAATGGCCATATAGATGCAGTCCAGTGTATTCTTTTCTGTTAAGCAATCTGGCTTCCATATAGCAAGCTCGAAAATAAATCAGAGTTTCTTTAGTGAAATGTGGTCAAATTTTCAATCTGCATCCTTTTACCAATTTCCTAAGTAAGTAGTTATTGGGTTACTTTCCTCGAAAGTATACACAGTCTTATCGTCAATGATGGAGGTCTTCAGAGCATTAATTGTCGTCCATATTAATGTCACAATTTCGAAGTTTGCCTAACTATTTTGTCAGCCCTCTTAGAACAAAAACACGTTGTAAATACACACACCCAAATGTTTTCCGTTACAATTTCAACATTCACTCCTTTCTGAATGTGCAATGCAATGTACTTTTGGAAGAGATGATAGAAATAGAAATAATTTTCACAATTTATGTAGGTATGAAAACAAGAAGATAGGAATCAAATACTGTTTAAAAATTGATACCTGCAGCATTATTCCAGCAAATTTAATGCTGTGCAGCGAAATATCTTAGGGGTTACTGTAAACGGAAAATAATGTAGTGTGGGTGGTTTAAGATGCTATGTTGTATGTCAGACTTGTTCTTTCTTGACATGTACATAAAATTTTGAAACTTGTCCAATGTAAACCATGGATATAGGGCCATTGACTGTATTTTTTTTTAAAGTTTTTATTTTTAAAGATGTGTAAGTGTGCTTCATCTTATTTTATTACTAAAATGATGTAAACTATTTTTCAGTGTAATTCTGAGCAAAATAAGAGTACTATCAGAGCACAGTTCCCCAGTTAATTTAAATTCTATAGGCCTTTTTTCTTTTACCACTCACCATGTATTATTTTAAATTCTGCTTCAGGGAATAAAGATTGTGAAGAATTTACATGCAGAAATTTTCTCCCTAACTAAGCATTAGAAATAAATTAGACTAGAATTTAAATAAGCTTTTAATTTTTTTAATATAACTTAAGAGATGCACTGAGCTGAGCAACCATCTGAATCAGCCCCTTAATTAGCTGTTGCTTTTGATATATATTATGCAAATCTATTTGCTGGTTAATTTTTATCTTTAATTGTTTAACATTTTATGATTCTATGAAAATATTTGGCTGAATGAAGCCGAATCAAAATTGGCACTTTTCTCAAATTTCTCCCCCCCCAAAAAAATTAATTCTTTAAAAAAATGTTAGATATGCACAGTTTAAAATTAAAATGCTTTTTAAACTGAAATTAAGAATTAAATTATTTAAAATTATAAAACATCCCACTAAAATAGTACTTTAAAATGAAAAATGAAGTATTTGTATCAATTATACTAGTCTCTTGAAATTAGTTCACATAATGAGCTATTTCATTGAGATTGCTATAGCCAATAAAAATATATGAATTTCTTTTTTAGTATATTAAATTTAAACTATCAAACAAACTAAAATAAAATAACCTTCTTTCCTATGCCTCAAACATTTTTATAAGTTATGATTCTTTGACAAATTATGATAATACTGTGAATAAATCAGAAAAGAAAAAGTCATAAACACTCATTTGGTAGCTAATAAAACTTAAACGAATTCTTGAAGTATGTAGAAACATCATTTGAAAGGCTTTAATTTTTTACTATTTCTTAACATTCCCTGTACATAGTAAATTAAAGATATCATTTTCACTACTTTAAAACAAAAATATAACAATAGGGAGGCATTTCATTATTCGTTTAATATATTTTTACTGGAAAATATATTCATGGAACATCATTGAAACAAGTATGTTTCGCTGCTGTAAAGCAATGTTTTAAATTCACAAAGATGGCCAGCGCTCTTGTTAGGTAGATTTTATTTTCAGACAGCCGAGGAAACTGGGAACCCTTCCCCCTTCTATTCTAACCTTGTAGGAACCCGGGTCCTTCAATATCGCAGAAGGCTTCCCTTACCACTATGCCATCTGGGCAGCACATTTTAGATATTGCTGTGATAAGAAGAGAGAAGGAGAAGCCAAAACAAGTGTGTCATTCTGGTATGAAGGCTGAGTTCAAAAAGGTGAACGATTTTGGTTTGCTAAATTTGACTTAACTTCCAAATTAACTGCATCATTTAGCGTTATGAAAAGGATGGAAATATCCAAATTAAAATATAGAATTAAGGGAGTATTTTATATTTTAGTTATAATTTTGATTTACCTACTTTTTTTATCTTACATATATATAATTTAGTCCATGCAGGTTCTTATCAAAAATTATATCTTACGTAGGTCCCTCCAGCATTGGCTGTGCTGTTGCTGAATCAATGGCTACACTTAGTAATGATACTGAACCAATACCTACTAGCAGTATCATCACTACTGCATACAACCCTGATCTCCCAGAATTACTGTATACTAATCAAACAATTACTGTACCTCAGAATGAACTTCTGATTTCTGACTTACTTTTGGATGAAGATTTACAACTTGTACCTTTGCCTTCTACAGGTAATTTTTTATCTACCTTTGATGCAGCTGGTTTTGAATAGAGTATGTAAGTGTTATTTACCATGTGGTGAAGCTTCATTGTTAGAAATAGCATATAATTTCGGGAAAATGGTGTTTATTATTATTTATTATTGTAATGTTTTAGCATAATAAGCCATGACTGAATATCTTATTTTGCACTGCAGTCTGTCAAGATTTGCCAAATGAAGATAATATGGACACAAGCAATGATTCTGTTTCGATGACTTCAGGCAAGGTTCCATCTGTATCTGACTATGTAAATATTTTTTCCTTTAACTTTTACTGTTTGTGATTAATGACACGTAAAATTTTCAGTTATCACATTCTTTCCTTCTGTGCTAAATAGAAAACCATTTTCTGTATTTATCTGAATTTCATGTTTCATGAAATGAAAATGAAGCTTTAAATAGGACTGAAATGTATTATTTCTTTATTTTAGCAGGACTGGGTTGATTCTTGCTCTGAATCATCTTCCAATAATGGAGAAAGAGATGATTATGGTAGAAATAACACTTCTATAAACAATAATTTTAATCATCATGCCAGTTTTGATCGAGTTCCCACTGGTATGCCACCTAAAAGGCAGAAGTACTTTGAAAGTAGAAATGTACGTTTATATATACATATATCGAAGTATATTTAAAATATCTGTATTCTGTAAATGTACGTAAATCTTATATATCATATTTTTATGTAATGCAAAATTGTTTGAGGTCCGTTTTTAGTATTTTTAATTCCAGATTCCGTTGACGTTTTTGTGGAAACTTATGTCTTCATTGATATAACAATATTTATTGATTAGTAACAAAAAATCTTTATCTATACTTAAATACTTGAAAATTTGAATCTTGTTGACCATCTGTTTTCAGATGGTCCAGAACATGTTTTGAGAGCTTACTGACTTAGCTTTTTTTTGTTGTTTTTTTGTTTTTGTTTTTGTTTTTGTTTGTTTTTATAATTCCTGTGTCTGCAACCATATCTGCCACTGCATGAAACACTTTTTTAGTATTTGCAGAAGGGAAAGAAGGAAAATTTCTTTATTATTATTTTTGAATGTAAAATTTTTTTACCCATGTAAAATTTTAAGTCTCTTAGTAATTCTGCAAAATGCCAAAATTTTATTTCATTATTCCCACACTTCTAGCTTAAATTTTGAATTCTTAATTTCTTTGTGTTTATTACAACTATGCAGCAAAATTATTATTACCATGACTCACTGTAGGTATTATTATTATTCTTTTTTAGAGTAAGCGTAAACCAAAGTTTACATTATTGATAAGAAGGAAAAAAAATTCTGCTGTGTTCTGTTCTGCTTGTGGTACAGCACATTTTTATTATTTTCCTGAAATGCTGTAATAAAAATATTGAAAATGGGAAGTTTAATTTACACTGAGTGTTCATTAAGGTAGTGCTAGTATTCATCATAACAAAATTTATTAAATAAAGTATTAATATTTAATAATAAAGTAGAGTTTCTTTACATAATTTTATTTTACTTCAAGAATTTTAACTTCCAAACATCACTGAAATGTTCACATGGCATTAAAGCAATTTACAGAGTGCATCTATAGCTTTAAAAGTGAATTTAAAAAAAAAAATCAACATTGTGACAACAATTTTTTTATGGTTTAGCCTTTCTGTGTGTGTTTCTTCTATTGCTAAGCATTGCATATATTTACAGAACTGTTGGTCGTCTGCATAGAATTCATTTGTTCCAATACTCTTTAATTCTGCTGTTACCTTTTTCTAGAGCAAAAAGTAATCTGCAGGTGCGGGGTCTGGAGAGTAAAGGAAGGTGGTTGAAAACCAATCACACTCTTCTGTATAAGAAACTACGCGACAATAATACCATTGTCATGTACCAAAAATACTAATAATACTTTGGTTTCTTTTCAAAAGACAGTGTAGTACTTATTTGTATAACATGGAGCTCATAGTCTTTGCTGCAGGTAAAAATTCCTTGTGAATTTTGCTTATCCAGATGAAAAAAAAAGATTACTGCCTTATTTATAACCTGAGATTTCTGGTAGATTTTCTTTTGTCAATGCAAATAATTATTTTCCCACTCCAGATGATAAGCAAACCAGCAATTTTCTTTAGCAGTCTCGATTAACTTTAAAAATTTCAGGATAGTGTCTGCCAGTTGAATCAAACCATGCGAAACAACAATTTCATCTTTCTTGTGTTCTCTTCCAAAATTAGAGTAAGAAAATTTTTTTAGATATTTGACAAGAATTTGATGGACATTATCTTTCAACAATTGCTGCACTGGTGCAATGTTATCATTTGCTTGAGACTCTGAAGGGCAACTTGCCCTATGTTCATCAATTAACATCTTTCCCTCTCACTAAATTGTAGTAATGAAATTATCGGATTAAATAACTGATTGGTCTCTGTAATGCTTCACACACTAGTTTAAGGGTTTCTCTATCAGTTTCTCCAACATTGAAGCAAAACTTTACTGCTGTTCTTTGTTTAGCTTTTAAATCCATAGCAGCAGATGCTGACAGTGTGAAACCAAACAAGTAATTACATTTACAGATCTTTTTATAAGCATACAATAGTTTTTTAAAAACATTTAAGATTGCTTAGTAGTATTTATCATTAGTTATTGCATGACACTTTTGCTGTAATATGTTTTTATTGAAATATGAATCTTTGTAGTTACAGTATTGTTTTGGATTTAGTGCATTTAGAATGTTGTTCATATCTGGTGAAGTTATGCATGTTACAGTTATATAAGGCATTTTTTTATCATATAATTGTGAAGAGAGTTATCCTTCAGTATGCAATATTGATGCTGTTTGTATTTTCACTTTCATGCAAGAGCTTTAATGAATGTTTTAATACTTCAGAGGTATGTTGTAAATATATATGTGCTTGCTGATATTATATTTAGTGTAGTCATCTACCATTTAAAGAATGATCAGAAATGTTCATATGTTTAGCAAGAATACAAGCCAATTTCCCACAGAAAGACGTCTATCATTGTCTTCCTTCAGTAATCTCAGTGTAGTTTGCCATAAGTAATTAACTTGTAACTGGGTCAGAATAGCAATGTATTGTTGTGCTAAATTGTTGAAGAATGTTTTCTCATATGCTTAATTTATCAAATAAGGCAAACATCAATATTTATTCTTTCTGACGTACTTGAAGGGAAATCTGCAATATTACTAATGCATGTGAAAATTGTTGTAAGTTGTGAACTTCTGACTTTCTCTTAGGCCTTAAAGGTTTCATTTATTCTTGAGTCAAAAGTATAAGAAACATTTATACTGCATTTTATCTGTATACTGTGTTTATACTGCATTAACGCCATATTGCATTTTACCTGCATGGTATCAAAAGGTATTCTAAAAGAATGTCTCAATTTTGTTCAATTTTTTTTTTTCAAAATTTATGTGCAAATGCTAATAATTTATCAGGAATTTAATATCTTTTAGGCATGAAAGTACATGAGACATCAAAATATATGATTATAATTTTGAATACTACTTTGATGTACATTCATTCACAGTGAATGTACAAAATGCATGTAGATGAACAATTTAAATAGAGCATACAATAACGCTTCAGCTTTAATGATTAGCAATCCAGTACAACCTTGGCTGGATTGGTATTCATAAAAGTCATCTATCAAAAGTGACTCACCCAATAGGATTAGCAGTCAGAAAACTGCAGTGGCGAAGAAGAGTGTGATATCTCATTGGGTCTTACTCATCAGTAAATTGATCCAAAAGAAATGCATAATTTTTTTCATGATTGTCTCTTTTTTTCGTCAAACTGTATTGTAAAGTGCTACATTCTCTTTCAATGTTAATCTAATCTTCTTAAAATCATTTGATGATTAACATCCAAGGAGTGGATACTGGAAAACAGAAAAAAAAAAGTGCTTGGTTTTCTGTCTGAAAATAGGTTCATTAAAAGTTTACAGTTTTTATATTGTGCAAACTCTCATTGCAGAATTCAGAACAATATGAATTACTCATTTACTTATTTAAAGAAAACATTAACGAAAAATTCAAAATAAAAGTTAATTGTATATGAAGCAGTTCTTTCTATTCATAAACCATTTTACTACTCTAAAACACAGTGGTTCATGAATATTTGAGTTAATGTAGTTTTACCATTTTCATTTATTTAAAGTTCATAATTTGAATTCCAGTTTTTGATCACACTTTTCTATAGCACAACATAAAATTTTGAAAGGATCACACATTTTTAAAGGACATTTTTAATCTTTCCTGAAAAATATTGCTTACATGAAATAATTATTTTGACTATGTAATTCATCTGAAGAATGAACATGTATTACAGAAAATTGCACTAAAATATTTTCATCTTCCAGTATGAATGACTTCTGAAGAAACAGATAACATTTGCAGTGGCTAAATTGTTTATTAAATTGACTGACTTTCTGTCAATGTTTCTCATTATTTTGTATAAGGCTCTTAGGTTCCATCATTAGAAAAGTTTAAAAATAAAACAGAAATGAAATTAAAATTGTTCTTTTCCTTGTATGCTTATTTACATATAGTTTCTACTGATGCCAAGCAGTTTACGTTTGTTTTTTTAATCACATTCCATTATGGTTACATTATTGAGAAGCTTTCTAGCTTCAAAACATTGGACCTCTAACCAAATGCATCTTATACATTACATAAACAGATTTCATTATATTAACTAGTTTTTTAACTATTTTCATTATCTTAACTAGTAGATTAATCAATTATGCAAACTTTATTCTTTTTACTTATGCTGATTTATCTTACAGGAAGTAGGAAATAGGGGTTTGGCAGATGTACCATTTGAACACAATGGTGCTCATGATCAGCAGTACTTCTCTCTGAAAAATCCTTTTCCTCATTTTAATGAACATTCTGTCAGTGGAGTGGCAACTAATGGTGTTCCTTTCAGGAAATTTGATTTTTCACCTAGGACAGCTAGTGTTAGCAATAGTAACTTTTTGCAACATAATCATTCTTATCATTTGCCTTTTACTACTGATGATTCTCATTATAAACCTGTGATGAGAGATAAATCCAAGTCCTCCTCAGAAGATGATACATGCAATAAGGATGAAAAGAGAGCTAAAGAGTTAAAACTGCCAATCAGTATCGACGACATAATAAATCTTGCAATTGATGAATACAATGAAAGACTTGCAAAATATGAATTATCTGAAGCACAACTTACTCTCATACGAGACATACGTAGACGGGGCAAAAATAAGGTATACTGATTTCTTTTAATAGAATTAGATTTTCTTAAATGTAAGCTATTCTAAGGCATGCTGTAATCTGACAGTAGTTAAACTGTGTGTTTCCTGTGTTACTCTTATAATAACTTGAAGCCACATCTGTATATTAAGACATATATATATTTGACCACATTCATGCTTTGTTTATATTATGGTGATGTCATAAGAAAGTTATACATATAAAAACTAATTTTCCTTCACATATATATAAATATATAAGTAAATTATAATACATATATAAACTATAATAAACTATCACACATGTGTTTATTCTGGTCATACATATATGAGCTGTATTAATTTGTCTATAGTTCAGAATTTAATTTTATCTGACTTGGAAATAGATCTGTTAGTATAGCAAATTGTCATGCCTGAGAATAATTGGGCAGCTATATTTCAAATTATTCAAAAATCAGCTTATGTAAAATGAATCTTTTATTTTCCAACTGTTATGTTACAGGAAATTTGTAATCACCATCCAAAATATATTTGTATTAAAGCTATGTGGAATTTATTACAGTAACAGTATTAGTACTGTAATAAATCATTTTTAAATAAATTTTAAAAAAATTAAATAATTTTAACCAGTTTGAAATTATGATAGTAATGCGAGAATCTGCTAGTATATTTATTTCTAATTCATTCTTTTTATGATCAGTTTTAGAATGAATAATACATTTGAATTATTTGAAATATGTTAAATTAAAAAAATCTTCATGAGAAGGTTTTTCAAGCAAAACAAAAATTGTGTCAAAAAAAAAAGTGTCAGTATTCTAATATTTATCTTTTTGCCTTAAGAAATGAGAAATACAATTTTCAGAAATTTTGTATGTCAGGTGCCATGATTAAAAAACAAATTACTAATGCACTTACTCCTTCTTGAAACTTTCAAAGTGAATAACTAAATATAATATAATTTTACTTATAAGTGTTTAAGTAACAAAGCCCATTTGCATTGAAAACTTTAAATGGATTTGCATTAGTCTAAGCATTGAAGTTGTTTTTTAATTTAGTGATCTTAAATTTATAATTTGTGTATTTTAGTTTATTTTTAATTTTAGTAGAGTAGTTGAAATTCTTTTGAATTTTCTGTTTTAGTTAAATTAGTGTTGTTTTTAGAGGTATTATGCTTTAAAACTGCATATTAGAAAACAAGCTTAATTTCTGTAAAAGCAAACTGTTCATTATGTACTAGGAAAAGGTAATCACCTGTAATGTATTTTTTATGTACTCTTACCCTTGTCTGGCCATATTAAAATTATTGAAATGTGTCATAGATGTAACAAACTAATAGAAACTGCCCTGCTGAAAGCAAGAGTTTTAAAATTGCTGTGCTAGGACATGTAAGCTGAACACACAGCCTTGCTGTACTATTGCAGATCACGATCGCATTCACATGGCAATGTACTGTCTCGTGTTTGAGCTGCATCAAGAAATTCACACTTTTTTGCAAGAGGAAGGTCATACGATCGCTAAGCATTTTGCCAAACCAGACATTTTGCTAAAACTAGCATATTAGTGTGACATATTTGAGAAAATAAATGTTTTGAATATGTCTCTACAGAGCTATGTATGCACATCTTGAAACTTGTAGAAAAGATTTCAGAGTTCAGAAAAAGCTGTGTTTGTGCATAAGAAAATTTAATGACTAGGGTACTCAAGGCTGTGTTTCTACATTGTATCAATATACAGGTTTTAATAAAGTCATTGTTCTACAAGAATTTCTGTCCCTTTTCATGGAATATCTCTCGAAGCTCACTAACTGGTTTGCAAAATACTGTGGGAAGATAATGTAGAGAAATTTATGTTGATATAAGATTCTTTTCATTAGACGAAAAGAGTTTAATTGCACTCTTTTGCGTTAACATTCTAAAAACAAAATTTGCTTGCTCATATTTAATGGAGTTTTGGATCTTGGTCAAAACTGAGTATCCAACTTTAAGTTCTAAAGCTCTAAGGATCCTCATTTCTTTTGCGACATCCTGTCTACATAAAGCTGGATTTTAATCTGACATTCTATTAAGGACCAAAAATCATTGTGGAGCAAGAAATGAAAATAGCTGTATCAAGCCTTTTTTTACAATTTGAAAAACTGTATGGGAATCAACAAGCTCACCTGTCACATTGATTTTCTAATCTGACACTGAAGGATTCCTTTATTTGTATTTAATTTGTATGTTTTCTTATCAATTAAAATTAAATTTTTTCACTAAAATGTCGCTTTCATTTCTCTGCCTGATTAATGCTAGTAAAAATATTGCATTTATTGCACCATGGAAAAGTAACAGACTACAAGTGTGCCATATATTAAAAAAGTTTGGGAACCCCTAGCTTATAATGAAACATAGTTACATTTTTATGACACTCTTAATTATGTTATTAGAATATGGAATTTTTCTCAAAGCTTATAACAATATTCTTTTTCATAATATATAAACATAAATGTGGGTAAACATCCATAATTGGGCAACTATAACAACAATGACATCATGGCTGAAGGGCTCTCGTTAAAATTCTGAAATGTTAACTGTTAGTTTAAAATATTTTTTCTGAAGTATGTTATTAATTTTTAATTTTAAAATTTACCTACATGTTTATTAAACATTTACTTACATATTTTAATTCTCATGTAATCACATATAAATTATCATTTTTATTTATGTTTATTTACTGATATTCAAATACATGGACATAAGCATAATCAAACTAGAATAGAAGAGAAACACACCAATGTTACAATCAAAATCGCAATAACAACCTTTTATTTAGCCTACATATATTAAAACAATCATTTTCGAGGGCAGCTAAAGGTCCCTCTTCATCTCCTCCTTTTTTATTATTATTATTATTATTTGAGGTTTAGGCTTGGTGAGTGAAGGTGCAGTTGCCCCTCGCTCCCTATTTTTTGACTTTGCTGATTTTCTTTGCATTTTAGTCTATGTGTTAATTGTTTGATCAGATAGCCTTGCTCAGTAAAAGAAGGCGGCCAGTGTAACTCTGATTTAAAATCCGGTTACGACCACATGCAGTGCTGATAACGACCACGTTTCTGTGACTCCTTTACTTTTCTTCTTTTTTCCCCTTTCTAGTAATTTCGTTCTCTTGATGAGAAGGGACCTTTAGCTGCCCTCGAAATCGATTGAGTGTTTTAATATATGCACGATAAATACAAGGTTGTTATTGTGATTTTGATAAGCATAATCATTAAAATTTGCTTATGTCTGCTGCATTCAGTACATTAAGTGTGAAATTTATTAATTATTACATTAAGTGTAAGCCTTTTTGCCTGACAAAGTAGATGACTGATTTTTAATTTTTCTTTCCCTCTATAAATGAGGTACCCCCCCAGATAAACTAGTAGCTTTCATTGATTGTATGTCTGTTTGTTAGCTTTCAAGATATTACTAATTTTGAAGATTAGATTATAAAAATGCAGATAATGATGTTGCTAAACACATGGAATGGCAGAATTTGCTTGGAAACTAATGAAATGAGCTAAGAAAGTAATAGTAGCATGTATTGATGCATGACATTTCGCAGTTCAGTTTTGCATTTTTCATTTTCAATTTATATGTTATTGTAAATAACTGTTTATATCTAATTTTATTTTCGAACATTTTTATGCTGGTTTTATGCTTTGTTCTTGTTTATTTACTTCATGCATTTTTTATAATAGCTTGATGTTTATGTATTGTGTATGTTATTTCATTTGTGGCCATATATGTTGTATGTGTGTCTTTATTTCATGCATAATTTTTTAGAAACTTTAATCTTGATTTATATTGGAATTGTAAGGATATCCAATATAGAACTGGATAAAAGGGCGCCTTGGCGAATGTATGTCAACTTGATGGCATTCTAAAAGTTCCCAGAAAGCAAATTTTGAAGCCTTAGGAGCGAATTTTCTGGAAGAAGAGCCTTCTGGAAACTACCTAATTCTTATAAATCTAAGTCTGTGAACAATTTTAATCATGATTCTTAGTGTGTTTCACGCTTTTAACCTTCTGCTTGATCATTACTGCATTGACTTAGCTCTGCAAGCCGTTTTGGTAATTAATCCAGAATGTTTCTTGCATGTTATAGAGAATTTTGTCTATGACGAAAATTTTGGTTATGGCCATGAGTTATCCTTGAGCTTATGTATCATCTGTGTAACAGCAGGAGTAAAGCAGAATTTTAAATAAACATTCCAAGTTAGAAATATTCAAGTCTTCTTGTTCATCATGTCTAGTCATTTAAGGAGAATTCTGCAAAGCCATTAACACATAACTATATAAAGTTATGCCTGCCCGTTTTGTTACATAATGAATATATGCTTACCCCTCTGTAGCGTTTTTTAATCCCTCAATTTAGCTATGTATAGATTTTTTAAACTGGTTCCTTAAATTCATTTAAATACTAGATTGATTCCTGAAGGAGTAATGTACTTCGTAATTAATTTCCTATGGCTTCATTTTGTATCTTTCCAGGTAGCTGCGCAAAATTGTCGAAAACGAAAAATGGATCAAATTAGCAGTCTGCAACAAGATTTGGACTCTTTGCAAAATGAAAAATTACATTTAAGATCAAAGCAGAATATTCTTCTACAGCAGAAACATCATTTTGAGGATAAATATGCTCAACTGTATCAATTAGTTATGGAAAACACAGGTTTTAAACCACCCGGTGATGATGATCATCCTATTCGTAGACCAAGTGAAGTAACTGCGTCTACTGCAGCTGATGTTTTAATGGCAGAAGATGACTCTGATTTAAGTAGAGGAGCTAGAACAAAACGAAAATTTAAAAAATGACAAATGCCTCACATAGTTTCTTTTTACATTCTTTGGACTTATTTAACTATGTTTTATGAAGAATTTCTTAAACCATTTGTGATAAACATAGTACTGTACATCTAATGTATTACATTTTTCATCATGATCTTCATATACCATGTTCATTTAGGGCAAATCACTGAAGTAAATTTCTTACTTTCATTTAGTTTTAGTGCTTTTATGTTTTTAAATACTTTTTTAATTTAAAGCATTAACTAAAGGTATTTGATTTCCTAGTAATGAACCATTTCTTACCTATATGTGTTTTTTAATTTCTTATGTACCTCAGGTTTCAGAATTATTTTGCTGATATAAAAAGTATTTATATGTTATGTAGAGATAAGTTTTGAAGAAAACTGTAATTTTTTTTATATTTCCTGAAATATTATTATGTTCTAAAGCAAAGCACCTTAAGAGAGATTTTATCTGTGTGAATTGAACTTACAGAATTCAGAATTTTTATTGGTTTTTCATGTGAAGTATTATAAAAAAAAAGCTATCTGAAAAACTTACAATTATGGTGCTTGATATTCAATTTTGGAGCAGCTGTAAACTATTAAGAACTTCCTCTCTGTTAACTACATTGAATTTATAAGCCAGTCTATTATATTTTGAAACAAAAATTCTTATATGTATATAATGTTTTTAATTCTGAAAAAAAAAAAAAAAAAAAAAAAAAAAAAAAAAAAAAAAAAAAAAAAAAAAACAGTATCTTTTAATTTTTGAAGGGTGCTGTGTGCTTATTTAACATGAAAAATAATATAATTTTTCTGTAAGTTTTGATGTCTCTTCTTATTGCATAACTTTCTCATATTTGATATAATTACCCAACCACTAGTAAACCTTTATGGGAAAACTAAACTTCTTTAATACTGTAACTTCATGCCTTTAATTTCTTTTAAAAATACATATAAAGGAATAAACTGTGCTAAGTTGTAAAGGATTTCTTAAATCTGAAGGAGAAAAGATGTATCTAGTGCAGTACTTGAAGAAAAAGATGAATAAAGTGAAAAAGAAGTATGTTGCTATTGTAGCAAATTAGTTGTAAGAAGACCTGAAATTATGTTCAGGTACATGAAAATCTTTATAGTGATAACACAAAAATGGTAAATAGGGACAATATATGTTGATACCTTATAAAGAATGAAACTGTTTTGATGCTGCTCAATACTCATTTTTGCTAAGTTCGATCCTGTTGAATATGTAGTAACCTAATGGCTGACTTTAAGATGTTTTATTGGATGTATATCAGCAAAATGTTTCATATGGAAAAGGTAATCATATGGTTTATTAAGATATTTTCTGTTACTGGCATTATACTATTAATCTAGTCTAGAGACCTTGGCACAGCACCTTTTCAGTAGGCCTCAGTGTGCACTTTCTTCACAGTTATAGGAATAAAACAGAATTATGAAGAGCAATTTTGGGGCCACTTAGGATCGTAAGCCTTGACTTTGTGGGCCAGGACATTAATCAGGCACGGGTTATAGGAGCAACCCATAATCTTGTATACAGTAATAAGTTGGAGTAGTATTTATGATCTTACTAAGTTTCTTTTTACTTTTTGCCATACCCTACAAGGAGAGAAAGTACATTATATAGCCATATCACAGCATAAATATGTCTTATGGCAAATAATCATGAGTCACTATTTTATTATCTAAAGTGCGTGATAAAATTATAGTGTAAAAAGAAGGCAAATTCTAAAGCTTAATTCGATTCAGCATAGTATCTGCTGAATAAGCATTTAAAATAGTACTCTTGCTTCTTGCTTGATAGAAAAATTTCAAAGTAACTGGGGCCTAGTCATATTTAGTGTATGCTAAATTTACTAGTGCATACAATTACAAATTTTGCAAATTTTTGTATTTGTATAGTGTAAAAAATTGATGAAATTTGATCATCAAAATAAGAATATTTTTCAGGCAAATTTTATTGATGAAAATTAGTTTGGCATTTGAATTGACAGTTTGAAAACGCAAAATGCTTTGAGTCATAGCAGTGCAATGTACCGTATTTAAAGTAATAATTTTTCATGAACAAGTTAATATAACAAAGCACACAGGGCCTGCATAAAGAGAGGGATCGTCATGTGGAGGACTTCCTAAGGGAAACTCGCTTGCATCCGTGCTACACACAGGGAAAACCATAAAAAACAACCATGTAGCCTCTACATTTGCTTGGGATTGAACCCAGGTCAAACTCCAATAATAATGAATGGTCTTAGCCACTCAAGAGATTTTGCAAGTACTATATGATAATGTTAAAATATTAAGCTTTTAATGGATCAACATCTGAATTTTTTTTACATATCTTCATTTTGCTGTGAGCGTACTTACTAATATTACATGGTTAATGGTACAATACAGTAAAAATATTAAACCTTAAATGGATAGACCTCTGAATTTTTTGACTGATATCCTGTTTTCTGTGAGCTTAGTTACTAATATTACATGGTTAATGGTACAACACAGTTAAAAAATTTGGTTATAAAATTATCATCTTACAAATAATCAGACCCATCTCAGCTTTTCATTGAGCCCAAAGTATTTTGAGGATGGGCTGGGAAACATTTAAAATAATGTATGAGTTTTTAGCAGATGTGATTAGCATGTGAAAGATTTTGTAATGAGGTCTCAAATGTGAAAATTTAGCAATAAAAGAGACACTGGTATTAAATTGGCTGGTTGATGTACATTGATTCTGGAAAACCAAACAAGGGTTGTTTTCCTGGCAAAGGGATGCCTTCATGCAGCACTTGCTAGGTTTGCATCTCCATATACATGAGAAAAACCATGAAATGCTCAGACTGTTCAGCTGGATTCAAATCACACTCAAACTACCAGTATTCAATAATCTTTTGTATTCAGCCACTAGTGGACCACACTGAAAATAAACACTACTAAAAAGATAGAGGATCAGTCATCTTTTTGAAAAAATACATGTTGCAGTCATCTTTTGAAAAATTTAAAGTGGCTATGTTTCTGTACAGGGTGGCCAAAATAAAACTGGTGCAGAAAGTTGTACATTTTCAACACTAAATTTACCCATATCAATGGGCAGGAGATCTAGCCTTCACCATGGAGGTCATTTTGCCTTTGATTTTTACACTTCATATTTTGCTGGAAATTTTGGCAGTATACTTCCATTCTTAAACTGCTGCATAAACCTTTCAGTACACATTTCCTATGAATTCTGCTTTACATAACACTCAGCCGTGAACTCGGTTATTGTTAGCACTATTTTGCATTGCATTGAACTATCACCAAACACATCTGCACCTTTCATGTCAGCTGCTCACTAAATATGTGTGCACATATCAAAAAACAACTGCTTACTGTCTGTGCTCTTCTCAAGAGCTGTTTTGTCTGTCCCCATTTCTAATCATCTCTTGGCTGTTTAGAATACGTTTCCAGGAAATTCCAAAAGCACTTTTCCAGGTCATTTTTATTTTACCTGTGCTGTAGTCCTGCAAACACTAGGGAAAAAAACTTACTTGGCTTACAAGAGTATTTTATTCAGATTAAGCAAAAAGAATATTGTCTGAAGCAGTTACTGAGTGTTTGAATGTTTTGGGAGCATTTGGAAGTAGCAGACTTAAATTATTTTTCTGAGGACTTATATTAAGAGGGTGTATAGCCTCGTGATCTATAAAAATGGCTCAATATCTGCACAACATGGAATTTACAAGGTCATCTGACAAATTTTTAGGCAGTCTTTTTCATTCTTCCATAAGAGCAATCTTGAACTCTTTTAAGTATCAGAAGAGGCCTTGACTGAGCAGCAACATATCTTAGGAGTGTTTCATGCATGCTTTATTGATTCAGATCAGGCAATTATGACAGCCATTCTATGCACTCGATTCCATTCTTAATGAGTCAAACTTTCACAAGATGAGCTTTGTGATGAGTATCATTATCAATTAAAACTAATGCTTGCCTCTGGTTCCACCATGCAGCAAAGCCAAAGGTCCAAGAATCTTATCTCTCCCTGTAAATTTCTGTCAGATTGCCATTTGGGTTGAATAAGTATATGTCCACCTGTACTTATTCCTGCCCAAGCTATCTATTCTGTGTCTTAATTTTGTGAACTTTTGTGCATAATTTTTTGTTGTTGTTGTTGGTGGTGTTATAATTCCTCCATAAAAAGGTATGATGATCTTCTGGCTCTAAAATCTTTGCTTATGTGTGAAGAGAATTTTATGCTACCCTATACTGCTCCAACTGTGATGTTCATCCACCTATTTCCTCCATAACCTATGGTGTCTTATGGTTAAGGAAACAAAAAGCAGAAGTCTGCATGTGTACAAACTATTTATTCAGTTTGTACAAACATATTTCTTAATATAGCCCAGAAAACTTCCCTTTGCAGGTAATTAGCACTGGTTATTGTTTCAATGGGCTGTTATGACGAACTTCATTTTGAGACACCAAATAAATTCGTGACCTGCTTATGTAATTCATTTATTTCTGAGTGGTCAATCGCTCGCCAAGACATTCAATATTGTAAATCATTAGATTGAGGTATTGCCTGAATTCTTCCTGCAAAACCATTGATAATTGTATATTTTGAGTCATTTATGCATAAGAAATTTTCTTTTGTCTTCGAAGCACAATATTTCATATTCAGTAGACTTTAACTTTATTTTACCCATTAGTCGAGCATAATGCTGCAGAAGTAGGATGATCTTTTCATTTTTTTTTCAGCAGTGTACAATTTTAAAATAATGATTTTCTGTTTTAATGAGTAAATGCATTCATCAGCAATGCGTTTTCTCTTTTTTGGCACTGCCTTCAAAGTCATAAATATAAATGGTAGTTAAAATGTTTATGTATTTTAACATAAACATTTGTGAAAAAAAATTTTTTTTAATTAGACTGACATTTTAATATAAATGCTAGTCTGTTTAATGCAAAAGGTTTTATTTATTAAATAGATAGATTTTGATGGAAAAGAAGCTTAACAACATGAGCTGAAATTTTGATTTCAGGTAGATGCGCTTTAAAATAATTATATTATTTCCTTCACCATTCTAATTAACTTTTCATTAAAAATTAATCGCAGTTTTTTAAATTGTGGTACATCGTTGTGTTCTATTGCTTAGCCAGCCAATGCCATTTCCCACTAAAGCGACAATAAAGATTTTCTGCATCTCTTATTTTCAACATAATTTGTTTCTCATTTGTTTTAATTATTTTTTCAATAATAATGTATATCACAATAATGAAAAAGTAGCATATATTTTTTAATTTGATCAATTTTCTGACTTTTCATCTTTCACAAGAAAAAACTTAACAAACACTTTTTAGTGATTTTCTTCTGTGTTCTTTACCTTCTTGTCATAATACCATACGCTTTTGGGATTTTTATTTTTCGGGGGCGTTACCTTAACGTTCATATGTTTCACTTTTGTTCATTTTCTTGTTTTTCATTTTTAAATTTAGCTTTGTTAATAGCTTCTACTATGTTTTGTTTTTGCCTCAATAACCCCAAATTTCAACAGCTATGAGCTTATTATAGTCTTATGCAGTGGCATAGCTAGGGTGGGGCAAGGGGGGACATCTGTTCCTGGGTGCAGCATCCAGGCGGAGCCCAATTGATGCTATGAAATTTTTTAATGAATCGTTTTCCTTTCTTGGCACACAGAAAGAGATGCAAATTCTTCAGTTGTCCCCGGGGCGCTGGAATCCTAGCTACGTTGCTGGTCTTATGAAGCTATATTTGTATATATGTGTGTGTGTGTGAAATGTGCACATAAAAATTATATGGCAATTCTTAGTAGATTGCCTTATTTATTTTTGAGGTTATTCCATGATTGAATATTTTTAGAAAAACGATTTTGCAGAAATTTGATTTTGTTTCCCAAAAATTATACAATTAGCTTAAAATTTTCACTTTTTGCTTACAAAATTTTTAATTTTTACCAAGATACTGAAGGAACAAAGCAATATTTAAGCATACACACATACTTAGTACATATATTGTATATATATATATATGTGTGTGTGTGTTTATTGAATGCTACAAAAGCTTTAAAAAAAGACAGAATTTCATTATAATTGTTTATTGAAGTGTAATCTTATTCTGATTATATGTATCCAAGCCTCTGAGGGTACATGCTTGTGAGAAAGCTTCTTACATAGGACTATTGGAGAGTCCTTTCAAATGGTACCTGAGAATGATATGTATGTGGCATATAATAATATGCATTATTTTTCTAATAATTTGCCAGCAATATTTATTCATACAGGAAGCAAAATGATTGTACTAAATTTAAGTGTCTCATTTGTATATTCTATCATTAAACTTCTGCAATTTATACTTGATCCAAATCAAAAATTCTTTAAATTGTCACTTAGCATATCAGCTTATCATTTACTTTTCATGTACCTTCCATCGTATCCAACTGACAGGTTGATCTTTAGTAATATTTAATCTATTAATGTATTTCTGTTACTTAAGGGTTTTTTTTTTTTTTTTTTTTTACTTGATTATGCCGTCCATTACTTGGGGTAAAAAGTATGATTTTCGTACAGTGCTTTCATACCACTCGTTTGTAATATTTTAAATAAATTTATTGACCTAATTTATTTACTGTATTAATAATTTGTGTTTATTTTCAAAGTTGTGTGTTACTATAAATTCATATTAAATGTAAAAAAAAGTTTTGCATACAGTCTGTTATTTGTTTGGTTTGTTTAAATACAAGTTTTGTTTTGAATTAGATGTTAACTCCTAACTGATGAAATGAATTAAAACTGATAGAAACAGAAGTCCTAGAAAATTTAAAATAAAGAAGCAGCCAAACGTTTAATTATATCTCTCTTGCAAAATTATCTTTATCTTATTCATAATTTTACAAGAGAGGGGGAGACCCTTGGGGTATTCACTATCAAAATTCGAGATGTGACTTTCCCGTTCTCGCGGAAGTAAAATCGGTTCTTCCCTGTGGTGCTTTCGGTGATGAGATGACTAAACGATGCGTATTGGCCATCCTCAACGAATGCATTTAGTTGCAAATGTTCACTCATTTGAAACAACATAATTTCGGAAGTGCACCATAAAAGTTACCTAGGTGATATCATGAGTGTCGAACTACTCCAGTTTTACCATGGAGTTGATTTCTCCAGTATTCAGTTGGCTATATTAGCTTTCTAAAGAATTTTTCAAAGTCTCAGTAAAGAAAAAAATTCTAGCGTCTCCTTTGACTTTTGATACATCTTTTATTTCAAAATTTAGAGCACTAACACAAAACAAAAATACCCTAGCATTCGAATATATTCTAATTTTTTTTTTCGTCCTTTCATATTGGCTTCACTGTTCATATATTGAAAGACAGTAATCACACCTTTTTTTCCTTCAAATGTTTAATATTCCTTCATATAAATGACGATGTTTGGCGTCATTAGCTTACAAAATATGTAAAATTTTTCACTGTTTGCAGTTACTCGATAAACATCTTCAAGATTCAAGACGAAAATTTTTTTTTAGCAAATTAATTCATGAAACAATACTTTTAAGTTGTTCTGTAGCTGGTAATCCTAAGTTGTTAAGAAATAATCATGATGGGCAGTAAGTGATGAAATAGCTTTCATGTGATTGTTAAAAAAGAAAATATGCTCTTATAGCTTTTGTTGTACCAAAGCATAAATCCATGAAAAAGAAATAATATTTAGTTTTGTGTCGGACTAAACATATAGTTTCGTTTGCTACGTGTTTAAGCAATAAGATATTTAATATATAAATCTTGTAAGCTGGATTTAGGTAGAGAATAATAATTTAATATTCCAATATAAAAATATGTAATATAAAAAGAATTATTGGATTGACTACTTTAAAATCTTTTCTTTATTTATATAATGAAAGTGCTGCGATTAAGGTTAAACCTCAAACAAAACACTCCAGTCTTCAAGGTTTTAATAACGCAAACGATAAGACTGTATAGTAATTTTTTGTGGTCTCTTTTGCTACAGCAGGTGAGAAGCTGAAGATTAGAATAGTAATTGGTAAGCTTCAGGGGGGGGGGAAATTGTACCTTATTATATTACTTATTATTCGTAAATTTTTAAGTAAGGCCTCTTTCTGAAAGAATTTCAATGATCAAAATTAGTAAGTAGTTTATAAAGTATCAAATATAGCAAAACAGTTCGTCTTATTTTAAGACATTTTCGTTATTAATTTGATTAATGGTTTCGAAAGAACTGCTGACAAAGAATTTGACCATTTCTTTTTCTTTATATGCGCTGCGTTTGAAAACGGAGTATTTTCGTTTTTTGATTCTTCATTCCTCTTCAAAATTTTTCACAAGTATTACACTTTCGTAATGGTTTTAGCAAATTTTGATAGTCTGCTTTTTGTGAGTATTCATAGCAGATCTGAAAAATGTTAAACAGCGTTTGAATATTATGCTGAATAAATAAATTACTTCTTGATATCTCATCTGCGTTCAAGACTTTTCTGTTGCAATATACGTTTCTCCAAATTTGCGTGGCTGTATAACTTTTGGTATTATTTTATGTTTGTTCTGAATAGGTCTCATATCATGTAAAGGCTATTTATAATTCACCATCAGTATCTGGCCCAGTATTATATACTTTTACTGTTGTTCTTCAAAAATTATTTCTTATTAATTCGTCATTTACAATTTCTCCTTTAACATCTAAATTAGTTACAAAATTTGAATATTTTGATAATAATATTTTGATTTAATTTTGTTAATATGCGTGGTTCAGTTATCCCATTTTAATGACTGTCAACAATTAATTATTATCATAACTGAATACAGTCTAAGTCATATATATTTGTTTTTAGTTTATTGGCAAACTTAAGTATAGGAAATTATTTTTGATTACCAGCGCTCTCTAGGGACCGAATGAATGAGACCGCTGAACACTAGCTGCTCGACTTAGTTCAAATCATAGGTAAGAGGCTAGCTCCATAAGAATCCCGTGTTTTCTCCTATGACTAACGTTAATAGCAAGTTAATATTATCTCTTAGAAGTTGTACACAACAACATTCCTTCGTCAGGTTTTCGTATGCCTTTCTTCAATCAACAGTGCAATATATTTATTGTTATACTTAGATTATTTCGGAAGCAGGAAAGATGAAATTAACAAAGCCTTCGCCGGAATCGAACCGTGGACCTCTGGAATACTGGCCCAGTGTGCAGACCACCACACCATGAAAGCACGCCAAGAAGGTAGGAGAAATACCTTATATACTCCGAATTTTAAAGGGCGAGTGGGGTTTTTAAAGGATCCAATCGCCAAATCTTGGGTATGGAGAGTTATCATCCACAACCCTTTTAGTTCGGGCGCCACTGTAGAGACATTAGGTTATTTCGGAAGCAGAAAAGATGAAAAATTAACAAAGCCTTCGCCGGGAATCGAATCGCGGATCTCTCGAGTACCGGGACCACCACACCAAGAAGGAGGGGGGGGGGAATACCTTATATACTTTTTAAACAGAACAATTTTTTTTGATTCCATTTATTTTACATTACGATATAAAACGTAATCAATGAACTAATAAATATTTATTTTTAAGAAATATACGTAAAACCACGGATTAAAATATAAAAAAATGCTAATTTTTTAATGCAGTAAATGCTTTCAAAGACGGAGATATTTTTGATCTTTTGAGGAGATGGCTATGTTAGAGAGGGTGAAGTTCAATAGTGGTGTTTACTTATGTTTTCAGAAACGCTGGTTACTTTCAAAGATGGTCATCTTCGTGAGTTGATTGCCTAGAGAGAGCCGCTGCATTTTTACAGTTTTTATATTGTTCATGATATTTATGTAATAAATCCCACAAAAATTATAATTTATCACATTTTAAATTTGTCATATTCTGGTTGGTATTTCCTCAGATTATCCTTATGGATCGCCAGGAAGAAACATATAGCTGTGTGCTGTAAAAATTCAGCTGCGTAGATCAGAAATATGGTAACAATGCAGTAAACTATTTGGGCTTTAATGTATTTTTATATATTACATAGGCACAAAGTAACAGATGAAATAAATTTTACAAATAAAAATTGAGCTGCAGTGCACACATGTGGCTTATATTGGTTTGGTTTATTTGATTACGGCACAAAGCACGCTAGGCTATCTGTCTAAGGAGAGGGGTGCCTCCATTGTCCTTCATGGAGGACTGTATTATCCACGTTGCACACATGGACAGAACCATACATGTGGCTTCACATGCGTGAACGATAAGCTTGAAATACTATGAGCCCTTAATTCAGAATATTTCTGAAAAAAATATATAAATGTATGTATTTTAAAATTTTAATTAACATCAAATTTGCTTTTTACGGATAGAGAATGTTAAATTCAAATATATATCTATCTTTCTCTATATATAAAGCTGCTTCGCTGAAAATACGCAATAATTATGAATTAGCCTTGAAAACACTATAGAAAGGCTGTTAAAATATTTTAAAATGGCACTTGGCCAGGCAGAGCTATTTTTCGATTTTCAAAAATTTCAGAATGTAGCTTCCATGGCTTGCGCATACTTGATTCTCGGACCGAAAATATAGAATAATAAACGAATAGATATATGTGAAATCTTAATTTATAGTACCAATCCATTTAGGAATTTCATTCATTTATTATATTTACTATTTTTGATTACCAACATACTTTCTCTCAGTCACATATATCATCGTTTAAAATAATACGTATGAAATAATGCATATATACTCGTACTTTTTACCAGTACGATCTAAATAAGGACGAAAATTTCAAACTTTCCTCTGATTTAGAAATACATAGCATGGAAAATTAATTTCTAAATAGTTACAGTTGTTCTACCATAGTTTAATTGTCTAATATATCTAGTAAAGCAGTATTTGTTTGCCACTTATTTTATAACTCTGCCAAATGTATGTCAGCAAATTTGCTTTTTGCAATACAAAACTTTGTATTTAGCAAATTTTTAATTACCTATGACAATTAATATCATTCTTTTTAAATTTATAGTACCAATTTTTGTTAATCAGTCTAAAATTCTAGATTATTAACTCGTTTTTAAAGTGACCTTTAAAGAGGTTTTTCCTCAAAAATTTTTTAACATCATTCAAGTAATTGATATAAAAACATTAAAAATATCTTAAGGCTGTTGAATAATCAATTTCTAAGCACTCTCTGAAAATGATAATTAGATCATTCAGTAATTTCCACCATCAAAGGTCCAACCTTCATCTCCAGTAATTAAAATAAATACAACAATCATTAAAGGTCTCGTTTTTAAATCTTAGTATCGTGGATCAAAGCTCACAGCGGAGAAGGAAACAAACTAGCTTATAAATTGGGAAAAGAAAATAGTTCAAAATAATAAATGCTGAAATAATAGCCTGAATGGCATAAATCAGCGGTTCTCAACCTTTTGACTAACGCGTACCATCTAAACAAAAAATTGAACACTTTAGTCCCACCACTACAAGGTACTACTACCACCACCACTCTTGAACAAAGCTCAATCGCATTAATTTACGAATGTTAGCAAAAAAACTCAATCAGGATGTTGGGGTTTTTAATTTTTGAATTAATAGTTAAAAATACTTTGCTTCTTTGCGTACCACCAGTGGTACGCTTACCACCGGTTGAGAACCCCTGGCCTAAATCATACCTTCCATCTGAGCTTGCACTTATAAATTA